CTTTTGTTTGCCCTTCCTTGTCATTTCCACCGAAAGTGACTCTGGGTCCATTGATTTTCTGGAACTCTGATAGGCAACTCTTGTCACCTGTCATGTGCCTGGAGCATCCACTGTCAATATACCATTCTTGTTCTGAAATGGCTCCAGCACACAGTTCCTGCAAGATTAAAAGGAAGATTTAGGTACCCAAGCAATGTTGGGTCCTGGGGGGTAATGTAGTCTCGGTAGTTGGTACCATTTTGGTCTCATCAACTGAAACCTCGGTGGATGGTACCCATTGTCCACCTGGTAGTTGTAGTAAACAGATGTATGATTCACTTTGGGCAGATGCTTGTGAGGATCATGCTTTCTGTTTGCATACTTCTGCATAGCCTTCTTGGTTGGAAAGAAGTCCCATATACTATCAAGATCAGAGGAGCGCTTAACTTTAGGCTTCTGAGGTTGACCAGACAACCTCTTCTGCCTATAGTTAATCTTCTCTTGATATCTGCCTTTCTGATAGCAGTTTCTGATACCATTGTCATGAGATTGTCTGATAGGGTTAGGCCTTTGATTATTATTGTTCTGAAAACTTTTCCTTTTGTTAGAGTGTCTGCCAGGTTCATTAGTTTTCAAACTTTGTTTTGGTTTGGCCTTTAGAGTTTGTTTCTCTGGTATGACCTTCTCATGAACAACTTTAGTACCAGAAGTACTAGCATGGCAATTGGGGCTCAGAGTCTGTAGCACTATGACCTTTTTAGCCTTAGCAACTCGGGTGCTAGGCCTTACAGAAGGCTCACCAGACTCTGGTTCAACATATCCAAGACCAGAGGTGAAGTTATGAGAGTCACCAATATTCTTCATGGAAGATTGCATCTTCAGAAGACTATTATATTTACTCTCAAGTCCTTCAATGTCTCTTATTCTTTTAAGAAGAGACTCATTTTCAGCCTTCAGTCTATCTCTTTCCTTAGTTAAGAGATTAAGTTTGCACTCAGTCTCTTTCCTTAGATCAGAGATATCAACTTTCAGCCTACTGTTCTCATCTTTAACAGAAGAATAAGTGGCTTGGATAGTTTGGAACTCTTCCCAAAATGATGACATTGGATCATCATTTAAGGCTGTGCCTACCGAAGAAGAAATAGAGTCAGAAGTAGAGCATACCTCATCATCTGATTGTGCCATGAGGCAAAGGTCTTCAGTCTCTGCATCCAAGCAGCAGAATGCTTCATCAGAGTCGGAGTCTGAACTGGACTCTGATTCAGAGAGTGGATCTCTCTCAGCTTGTTCTGAGACAAATGCTCTTCTTCTTCTGTGTTGATCATCTGGTTTCTTTTCTTCCTCATGTCCTTGTTTCTTGGACACTCTTGGATAGGGGCAGTTTGCTTTAAAGTGCCCAGGTTGTCTGCAGTTGTAGCAGAGGTACTCTCCATTGCTTTCAGAAGATTTGGTCTTCTGATGTGGTCTTCTGATGGAAGATGGACTCCTTCCATCTTTCTTCATAAATTTTCTGAATTTTCTGGCAAAGGCAGCCATATATTCATCAGATAGAAGAGTTGAGGGATCAAAATTTGTAGCCTTAGAAGTGCTGGCAGTAAGAGCAGTTGTGGTTCTCTCATCTGGCACTTCTTCTTTCTCATCATGCATCTCAAACTCATAAGCTTTGAGATCAGATATCAGTTTCTCTGTGGGATAGGTTTTGATGTCCTTGCTTTCTTGGACAGCAACAACCTTCATCTTCCAGACTGGGGGCAGTCCTCTGAGAATCTTCAGGTTGACTTCTTTAACTGTGAGCTCCTTCCCAAGCTCGGATATCTCACTGGTAAGAATCAGAAGTCTGGCATGCATCTCAGCTATGCATTCCTCAGGTAGAAGTTTGAAGTCATCAAACTTCTTCATAGCTATTGTCAGTTTGTTGTCTCTCTCTTGTTCATCACCTGCTCCTATGAGATCAAGTTTGTCCCATATTTCTTTGGCAGTTCGACACTTCTTGATTCTGTTGAAGTATCTGTTGTCGATGGCTTTGTAGAGGATATCTTTGGCAATATTGTCAAGATTGTACTGTCTCCTCTCTTCCTTTGTCCATTCTGATCTGGCTTTCTCAATCATCTCAGGCTGAGTCCTGTCAATAGTATGCTCAGTATTCACCTTCATAAATTTGGTGAAGGGTCCTTCTTCAAGGACTTCCCACATTTCATCATGAAGAGCACAGAGGTGTGCTTTCATTCTGATCTTCCAGTCATCATACTTCTGATCTGAAAACATGAGGTGCTTTGCAAGAGAGTTATCCATAATATCAAATAAATAGAGGCTAAGTACAAGTGGATCTTTGTTCAGAGAGTAACCTAAAAGATTACAAGAACAAGGAGGCTCTGATACCACTTGTTGGTCCCGTTTAATATGGTAATCAGTCTAGAGGGGGGGGGGTGAATAGACTGATTGGTTTTTCAAATTTTTCTCAAAGTCAAAACTGACTTATCAGAGAAGGTCTGATTCTGATGACAGAGAAAGGCTGGTTCTGATATCAGAACTGGCCTTGGCAGCGGATTCTGATCTGTCCGGGTAGCCTCAGAAACACTAAGGCAAATGCCTTTCTGATAACTCTGAAAACAAGATCTGCTGAACACAGATTCCAAGTCTTAGAGTTAATCAGTTAATGTCCTAAGTGCAGAAATATAAGTTGCAGTAAAGTAAATGACACCGGATATTTTATAGTGGTTCAAGGAACAACTCGTTCCTCTAGTCCACTGTTCCACTAGCTTTGAAGTAGATCAGTTACAAAGCTAATTCCTAGCACTTAAGAAGTTCTCCACGCCTTCTTCAAGTCTAGCTGCCACCCAGGATGCAATTCCACGTCCTGATGGCTGATCCTTTCACTCAGCTTCCCGGAAGTATCACCACTTCACTACTGCAGTTACTTGGACGCCCTTCTTTTCAGAAGATCCTTTTGAAAAACAGAGTTTTTCCTCCAACTTGCTTCGTTACAAAGGATGTTTGATGAAGTTCTTGAAGTGTTGAAGAACAGGATGAACTTTGCTTGTTTGTTGGGGATGAGAGATTTGGAGTTTGAATCTTCCCAACGTAAGCTTGTCTTGTTGAAGGTTGTAGAGTTTGAATCTCAAGAGAGCTTGAATGATGATGTGTAAGAGTTGTAGCAAAGTTATTTTCCAGTTCTTCGGTGTGTAGCTTATATACTGAGGTTGTCTGCCCGTTGGAGGAGGAGACAACTGCATTAAATGCGCGTACAGTTGACTTGACCGCCGTTTTTGGAAGGTTTCTATTTTTAAAATATATCTTCCCGGACTTCTTGGTCAATCATTTGCAATCAATCCTTCAGCGTATCAGGCTCATTTAATGTGCATTAAAAGCTTTCCTTTCATGCACAGTCTTGTAGCCGTTGGATGTTTTACCCGTTGGATTCAGAGCTGTTGGATGTTGCTTGAGATTTTTCTAAGTGTTCGTCGGGCTCTGATCAGGCTCTTCTGATATGTTGGATTCTGATGGCTTTCTGATGAGTTGAGTTCTGATGGTCTTCTGATCTTCTGACTGAACTCTGACTCTGATGGGTCCGCTGATGGGTACTTCTGATCTGTAGTTCTTATCGGCTATCAGATGTCCAGTCTTATCAGCAACTCTCATGATGCACCTCTGATGGACTTCTGGTAAGAGAACTCTGATGGAGCAGTTCTCATAGAGCAAGTCTGGTCGAGCAGTTCTGATGCACTTCTGATCTGATCCAAAATAGAGCAACTCTGATCGTCGACTACACTAATACTTACAACTGAAAATTCTAATACATAAAATCTAATTTGGGGGTACTTTAAAATTCTAATCCTATAGCATCATCAAAATCTAATTACATTTATTCCTTACATCGGCCTTATAAGATTTGAACACGTCTATTGATTGGGACTTTTCATGAATGAGATAAAGGTAACCATAACAAGAGTAATCATCTATGAATGTGATAAAATATGTTTGAACATTTCTACATGGTGTAAGGAATGGTCCACAAATGTCTGTATATATCAATTCTAATAGATCTGAAGCTCTCTCGGCACCTAATCTCCTTTTGTTTGTTTGTTTTCCCTTAACACACTCAACACAAATATCCGAATTTGAGGAGTCAAGAGAATCAAGAATTCCATCGAACACAAGTCTCTGAATTCTTTCTTTAGAAATATGTCCTAAACGCTTGTGCCAAAGTGATAATGAATTCTCATTGGTTAATTTTCTTTTAGTACGAGTACTTACATACAAGGTTTCATTATATGAGGCAATTATATCAAGTGAATATAGATTATCATAAACTGATAAAAGACTGGTACCAATAAGCTTTGAATCTTGAAATAGACTGAACTGACTATTTCCAAATGAACAAGAATAACCAATTTTGTCCAATGCAGAAATAGAAATTAAATTCCGCCTAAATGACGGTACAATAAATGTCTCTTTCAAATCCAAATAAAAACCAGTCTTTAATAATAATCTAAAAACACCGATAGCCTCAACTTCAACCCGCTTGCCATCACCGACATATATGTATCTTTCACCATCAATTGGTTTTCGGCAGCTCAGGCAACCCTGCCCTGATACACTTATGTTAGTAGTAGCACCGGAATCTACCCACCAAGTGTCCTTGGGTACCGAAATTAAATTAACCTCAGAACAAACAAGAGCAAGAGACATACCCTTTTTCGCACGCCAGGCATGGTACTTAGTGCAGTTCCTTTTCTTGTGATTAGTCCCTTTGCAAAAGAAGCATCCAGATTCCTTAGTTTTTTCCTTAGTTTCCTTATGATGCTTTCTTTGAGGCTCTGAATTTGCAGCTTCCTTAAATTTCATTTTCTTGCTGCCCTTAGAGGTAGATGCCAAATGAGCACTTTCAGTCTTATCCTGTTTTATTCTCTCTTCCTCTTGAACACAATGAGAAATGAGCTCATTGAGAGACCATTTCTCCTTAATGCAGTTGTAACTGACTTTAAATTGATTAAATTGAGAAGGAAGAGAGATCAAAACTAAATACACAAGCAATTCCTCAAATAAAATAAGCTTAAGTGCACTTAGTTTTGAAGCAATATGAGACATTTCCAAAATGTACTCTCTTATGTTCCCTTTGCCTTTGTACTTCATGGAAACAAGAGTGCTCAAAAGAGTACTAGTTTCCGCCTTTTCGTTTTTAGCAAAACGCTTTTCAAGTTCGGCAAGGAACGATTTGGCATCATCCTCATCAGACATAATGCCCCTGAATGATTCTGGAATTGCACGTTTCATGATCATTAGATTCATGCGGTTTGAGCGTTCCCACCTCGCCATCTCCCTCTTTTCATCAAGGGTAGATGAGTCCTTAAGAGCGGCGGGTTTCTCAATCCGGAGTGCAAGGTCTAGATCCATGCAACCGAGAACAATCATAACGTTCTCTTTCCATTCCTTAAAATTTGTGCCATTAAGCACAAAGATGCTATTAATATTAGCACATATTGTAGCAGCAGAATTGTTGACTGGAAGAGAACAAAAAAATAATATAAATTATATGCTCTAAAAACTGAAATTAACTTTATAATTAATTTTAAATTTAAATATTAGCAATCTCCATCACAAGATACCTAGCGCAACATCTAATCTTGTCTTTGGACATAAATTAGACTTGCAAGTGGTACTCTTGGTGTAATAATAAAATTTTGATAATAAAATCATGTCAAATACTAAGCCTTTCTTTGGACCGACTTAATATTCACATGAAAACCACATAATTATCACAAATTTTATTATTACAAATGTAATTAAATTTCGGCCAAATAATAACCTTTCTTTGGGCTGATTATTATCCGCATGAAATAAGAAAGTACACAATCATCTTAATATATGAGTTAATTAATTTCAACAAGAGAGGCTACTTTGGCAGCATGTTGTGTCAATTAACCAACCGAAATTTTAGACATGCTAATATTAAATCAAAAATCTGAAAAATAAAATTGGGCGAATTTTTGAATCACAGGCAAATGTGTTATGTGTAACGATAATTTGTAAAACCTGTACCCAATCGCTGTGCGATCCCAAAATAGGATTTACACTTTCATAACTCATAATACACATTATTCAAACCACAAAATATTATGCCAAAAAAAATTATTTCGTTAATTCCAAAATTATGCATTTCTGATAAAACTGATATTGGCCGCAATTACATATAAGTATTTAATTACCAAAATCGGTAATAATCACATATATGTACTTAATTACCAAAGCCATAAAAAATTCCAGAATTGAATCATCATAAAAGGAAACATATCTTTTTAGTTTGATACAGATATACTCGGCTGACTAAAAACCGATTCCAAATCCAGAACAGATACGGAAGCTAAAGGCCTAAATCCTTAAAGGAAGAAACTGAAATTATGATCGAATCAATTCACACATCCAATAAATAATACTACGTAAATTATAATATTCCGTATGAAGTGATTATAATATTATCACTTACCGATTATTCAAATCAAAAGAAACACTAAAGATGATCCATTGAATAATCTGACAAAAAATCAATCATAGGATTGATTAAACCCAATAACAGCACTAAAGATCGAAAACAGAAAAGCATTATCCATGTTGCACTTTTTTTTTTTTTGAATGATATCCATGTTGCACTTGAAAAACAGTAACATTGGAGAAAAACGAAAAACAAATCACAGCATTCCTTAATATAATCGGCAGATTACGAGTATATGAATCAACAAAATGACGATTAAAAAATTCATATATTCCAACCAGTGGCGAACAAAACAAAAAAAATTAAAACTGAATCGGCATATTAAAGGCCGAAACGAAACACCTGACTCCGACTCCAATCGCCGATCCAGAGAAAAAAAAACAAGAAACATTCGATCAAAACATAAGGATTCGATCACTCTAAATAATTCAATATTCAATATGAAGGTGGCTCTGATACCAATTGTTGGAATAAATCCGATAATACTTTAATCTTCATATTGGAATTATCTAGAGAATTAACTGAGCGGAAGCGTACCTGACTCTATAGGAGATATCTTTGGAGATCCGGGAGACGGAGGCTAGGGTTTGCATCTTCTAGTTATACACACCCTCGGGAATTATCTCTCTAGCGATGGGATGCAGAAAGACGGAATGGTGTGTTCAACTAGGGACCATAACTCCTCTATTTATAAAGAATGCTTAACCCTAATCAGTCCATCATTAATTAAGTTAAGCCCATGAGTTTCTACACAATTGGGCCCTATACCTTATTAGATAACTTATTAGCCCACTTAAATTAATATCAGGACCACTAATTTTTGGGCTAAATATAAGATAGCATATAACATACAATTAATCCAATAAATAATATACTGTGAATATTATATGTAGTATAAGTCCAATAATCTAACAACGATAACCACTCATTATTCCTAAAATATATGTGGCATTTGGGGTTGTCTTTTAAGAAAGTAGGTTGAAATATAAAAATACGGCTTCCATTGCTCTCCAGAAATCAAGGCAAGATTGACTGTGAATTTGAGGTGAGGAATTGAGGTAGCTTTCATCTTTTGTGTTTTGGTCTGATTGTGTCCATAGTGGCTTTGATCAAACAATAGCAACAACGGTTTTGGTCAAGAGAAAGCTATTGCCAACAAAGTCAAATGACATTGCCAGCAAACTGATGTACTCCGTAATAATGTTACATATATAGAATCGGCTGAATTTTTAGCAAAAAATCTATAAAGTACATTATGAATGATCTGTTGGAAAATTGAGAGTATTTCAAATGAATAAAATATTATTGTTAAACTACAATGAGAGTATTAAATGTGTTAGGGTTTTATCTTCCTTGATAATAATGTTGAGGTAACGTTTACTATCATTAATCTTTAGTAAATAGCATTTTCATAAGTATATAGTTTTCTAAACGTACGGTTGCAAATTAGCAAGGCTACAAGGATTATTTTCTCAAAATTGATTTCAAAGATTAAATTCTTAATGTGGGTTCACACCGGTTGATTCATATTCTCTCATGCATGCATAACCAATATAATTTATTAAGTGTTATTAATTAATATAGGTTAATGCTAAGGTTTTGGGTTGTAACGTCTATTAACATCCTGTTAATGTGTCTTAACTTTTTAAGAAAGCAACGTGTGAGTGTGTTAAAGTGTTAAACAATTGGCTTGAATATAAAAAGCATACATATACTACGGGGTACTTCGTATAAGCATGTATGCATTGATACATATTGGGGAGAGTGTCAAGTCTTGTTGACACTAAACGTATGCATATCATATGAGAGAAGCCGAGTGGGTTAGAAATCATGGTTTATATTATAAACATGAAAATCATACATACAACTGGGAGATGAATTAGAAATTATGTTTTTCTCAAATTATTACTGGGTTCATATACTGTTTTCTTCTCGTTAGTTCTGGTACCGGTTTGATAACCGAAGGGCTCGTTATATCTTGGGGGAAATTTCCGTACGCCGGAAATAATTCCTTAGGACAGCGTCTGACGCGTCTCGAGCCACTAATATATATAATTTTAGTTCTTTTTAGTGATTACTTTGCAGGTCGATTCTCAGAGCTAGATAGTCAACGAAGTCAATTGAGGAGCAACACGGTTAACACGTTGAATTTGGAAGGATAGAGCCAACATCATCGAGCAAGAGTTAGATATTGAGATAGAGACAAGTAAGCCTTGAACCGGGATATGGCTAGAAAAATAGAAGATAGCAATGTGATGTAGGTGTCGAGGTATATGTGTGCAGCCTATGATAGTATGATGTCTGTTATTAAAATTATTGTGTTGGGTTTACAGATCTGTTCAGTTCTTAAAATCTGTTATTTTTTCCTTTTATCATACTCACTAAAAGTGGCCTCCTAACATGTATAGCCTGTTTGTTAGCTATAACACATTTATTGATCTTATAAATATATTTGAGGAGACTATAGGCTGGTTTGCAACCACTTTAAAAAAAGCACTTCTCAGCTTTTGGCTTAAAAAAGCACTTATTTACCAAACACTACCAATTTTTTATTTTTCTCGGCTTTCGTGTCAAAAGTGCTTTTCCACTTTTTATACACCAAAAGCACTTATTTTACCAAACACTACCAACTTTTACTTTTCAAAATCACTTTTTTCTCAAACACTATCAACTTTTACAAATAATCACTTTTTCCAAATCACTCCAAAAGTGCTTTTTTTAAAGCAGAAGCTGTTGCAAACACTCCCTATATATTGCAAGGGTTGTTGAATGCATTCACCGTACGTTAATTATTTTTTCTTTCTAGCTTTTACTCTAATTTCTCTTTAGTAATATTAGGGGTATTTGAGAACATATAGCTATTATTTCGTGTTCTCATTGAGAAAGAAAATATCAAGTAAGACCCTTCTTACTTAAAAAAACACGCTCGCAGATACCAGTGGTGAAGTTCTGCTTAGACCAGGAGAACTTGACCTGCACAACAGCAACCTTCCGAGCTGAGAGGGAGGCTAATCGACTCGAACAAAAAGTATTGGACCATCTCAGGGACTAAGGAACCAGATCCAGCATAACACCACAAGCCTGGCCATAACGGTGGTTGATTTGGAGACGACATTGTCCGTCTCGTTGACAATCATACAAGCATCCAACATCATCCCAACTTGCAGTCTACCATACCACTTCAGGTTGTCATGCCACAAACGCGATAGAACCTCAAACATATGCCAATGCCTCTTAAGGTTCTAGCACCCATCACAGCGGCATTCACGCCACTAATACGACCTCGTAAGATGGCCACTCAGATCATCAAGGAAAAAAAAGAGGAGTAGAACCAAATCTCACCCCGTCTTTTGACTTAGGTGAGAAGGGGCGTCCTAGTTTATGCTTTGGTGCTTCCACGCAGGGGGCGGTCTTCATTGCATAGCCTTGTAGGATGGGTAGGGTGCAACAGTGAATGCATTCAACAACCCTTGCAATAGTCTCCTCAGATATATTTATAAGATCAATAAATGTGTTATAGCTAACAAACAGGGTATACATGTTAGGAGGCCACTTTTAGTGAGTATGGCCGATTTAATAGGTGAAGTGCCCAAAGTCAAGTGCCTTCGGCCTCGTGTCGAGGCCGAAGCTAAAGTAGTTCCTTTTTTAAGCATAGTTCTGGTTGTGAACTGACTCGGAGTGTTCTGCTAGTCCATAAGAAGATGTGGATCATGAGTATAAACTCATATACTCCATCATTGGTTTTGGTACGCTCATCTAATGATCGAACTTAGCCCTAGCTTCACATGCTTCAAGTGCTGCATTATTTGTTTGATGACCACATTGGGTACACATTGGGTGATCTCAAATGAGAGGATCAAGGCCCCACAATCCTTTGGTGGACTGAGACCCTCGTTCAAGACTATTATTTACAAATGGGCCTTTTGTATCGCTCCCCATGTTGTTGTTGTCTCTCCTCGTGCGCCTGTGATTGTACTTAGATAACTAGATCTAGTAACAATGAGGGGAACAAATAAGCCTCGACTTCCCTCTCCGTTATGATTGTGACGTTGCTCTTCTCCCTTTCACCCGATCCATTTGCTCCTAGGAGTCTTAGCTTCCGTTTACCCAGACAACAACTACATTCTCCACATTCCTTCTCAATACAACTTGCTCTTGACATACAATTTTGACTTCGAATCGAAGGCGGTGATGGCAACATGGTCGATTGTTGCACTCCTCATTGGATTGCCTAGATAGGTTGACCATTGAGTAGTCGAGATGAGCAAGTTTTCCAATAGGGACAAACTGTGCTATAGGTTGGTGATTGGAAGTCCCATCGCCGTTAGATGCATCAAGCACATGCAAAGCATGAGCTTGGAGTTTTGTTTGCATCTTGACGAAGAGGGCCTTCTTGGACTCCTCGAGCGTGCAACATCAAATAAGCAAGTTTCCGCAAGGTCCCTAAGACCTAGTGCATTCTCTTACTGAAGATTATACGTAGTTTTTTTTCCAACTTAGACGAGGTTGTGGTCTTAGCCAAGTTTTCCATATCATGTATCGAGGTTGCGGTTCCCTAGCGAGTTGTCTTTGAAACTTCCTTATGAGATATTTTATAAACAAATATTTTGGGGAGATTCTAACTTGATCTCCAAGACTCTAAATGACAGAAATAGTGAACGTGATGATGGGTTATTAGAACCCAGATATAGAGAGAAGTGGGAGTAAATTCTAGAGAGAGGATATAATTTCTTTCATTTATAACACAGATAGTGAGAAATCAATGCCTCTTTCCACAATATGAAAATGGGTAGTTATAGTACGATATCTCTAGGCCTCTAGAAATTGTACATGTGTACTTAATTATTCGTGTCATTACTTAATTATTTGTGATGCCATCACAAACGTAATGGTGTCAACCTGATCATCTCTGCTAATACACTTATTTTGGCTAAGAGTCGTGTCTTCAGAGTCATCTTCCATATCCCCTTATTTATCTGCCCCAAAGGTATGTGCCAAGATACTGCATCACGAAGTTTGTGAGTTTTTTATGTATTAAATTTCAGAGAGGCATTAGTGCATTACAAAAGAATATGCTACCTAACAGATTAACATATAAACTATTAATTTATCGTGTCCCATTTTTGTCGGCCATATCACTATTTAGCTATATATGATAATAGAAAATATATGTTTCGATTATATTATACTTCGTACGGAGTATTATATTATGAGCTCATTTGGTAACCGCATTTTCAAATAATATATGCACTTGCACTATATTAATATTTTATTAACATTAGAGTAAATTTCCACCCATAAGGTGGAATCGTCCACCCCAAACACCCCACACCCCGACCCACAAATGGTGGAGAAGCCCATATATTTCTATCATCCGTATGTGCAACAGTGCAAGTGCAGTTGGTTAGGGGATGGAGGGATCAAATAAATTATAGTATATGCATATGACTTGCTAATGCCTCTGATCGGTATAGACAGCATCAACATCATCAAGCTCGAGTAGTTTTGCCATTAATTCTTTGTTCAACTCCATAGCCTCATCATCTACCTGCAATCACAAAACAGCACTATTACTCCTCTTGCTGCATGGCATTCCAGATATAAGCCATTTAAAAATCTAT